TTACCTTTCAGGTTCATTGAAAATTTTAACAAATTCCCAATCCGTGATGCTAAAAAATTTTAAAATATTTCTTCAAAAGTGAGTAGTAGTGTTACATCATGAGTGTCATCAACTACAAAAATGCATGCGTCTAAGAAAATCAAATTTGTATCAATCAACCCAAAACTCATAACAACATCACACTACTGTACCAAACACCCCCTAACTCTGACCATATGAGTCCTATTTGATGCATTATTTCTAAGTTTCTGAATTCTTAGGTGGCTAGTTACAGATTTTACGTCTTTCCCTTCAACCTGCCTAGAATTACACACAGTTTGAGTAGACTTTGATTTTATATATAAAACATAGATTTAGATTCGATTTGTTTACATATTAAAACATTATTAGATTTATATAATATTAGCATATATTTTTAAAATTAAATATAAAACAACAAAATATATATTAAAAATGAAAAACAAGTTTATTTAAATAATCAATTTTGAGTGGGTTTATTATAGAAAGACTGAAACCATTTACAAACGGCTCCCATCACATGTTTTCCTTTTTATTTTGTAAGGACCACCGATCCCCATGCTCACTGTTCCGGTTTTCCCTCTCTCTGAAGTTAATGGCAGAACATGGGTATTAATTATAATAATAGTTGCTTTTTTACTAAGACAATTGACCCTTGGTCCCTGATAAATAGAGTTGAGTTCCTCGTTTGGGACCTAAATCATCCAAATTTTTAGATTAATTTTTTTAGAAAATAAATTTATTTAAAATAAGGGAAAATTTTTAAAATATAAAAATATTTTGATATATGTGATATAAATAATGTAATGTATGTTTATATTTAATGTACAATATATATTCAATGTATGTTTATATGAGAATTCACTCCATGATCCTATTCTTCTGCCATTATTAACAGAACCTAAAGACTAGGAGTACATAAAAATATCCCATTAAAATAGCTAGAAAGGCTCAACTAACTTGATCATGACTCATTCAAATTGTTAAACAAAATAGCAATAGAATCGGGATTACAAGCCGACATTCCCCCTTAATCCTAATTTGGAAAAACCATCATTCCGAGCATACACTTCAACTTGGCAAAAGCTTCATACTTCAACGGTTTGGTGAGAATGTCCGCCACTTGGTCTTCAGACTTGCAATACACCAACTCAATTGCTTTCTTCCTAACTTGATCTCTCAAGAAATGATAGCGTATGTCAATGTGCTTGCTTCTTCCATGTGTGACAGGATTCTTTGCCAAGTCCATTGCAGAAATATTGTCAATGAAGATCTTCATTGGCCCCTCAACTGGAGCATGGATTTGACTCATTACATTGAGCAACCATATTGCTTGACTGACATGCACTTGAAGCTGCAGCTGCATACTCTGCTTCACAAGTAGAAAGTGCAACTATGAGTTGCTTCTTTGATAACCATGAACAAGGTGTAGCACCAAAATTAAAACAATATCCAGAAGCGCTTTTATGGTCATCTAAATCTCCACCCCAATCACTATCCGAGTAACCTATGAGAGCACAATTGTTAGATGAAGAATAGAATAAACCATGATCATAAGTGCCCTTTAGGTACCGCATGATTCTTTTGGCAACTTGCATATAAGATTGGCAAGGAGATTCCAAAAATCTACTAATCAAACCAACACCGTAAGAGATGTCCGGCCTTGTGCATGTAAGGTATCTCAAACTCCCAACAATTTGCTTTAAATAGGTTGAATCAACAGGTGCCCTATCTCCATACTTTGACAACTTCATACCAACCTCTACGGGAGTTCCCACGGAATTGCAATCTTGCATACGGAGCTTCTTCAAAAGTTCAGTAGCTTGGGAGATGAAAATTCCATCATCTCTTTGAACCACTTCTATGCCAAGGAAATATGACATTAGGCCAAGGTCTGTCATCTCAAATTCATGCATCATGGACTTCTTGAAATCTTCAATCATTTTGGGATTATAAACCGTAAAAATTAGATCATCAACACAAAGGCACAACAACAATATATCACCAGAATCATTAACCTTCATGTATATAGCATGCTCGGAGGGACATTTCTTGAAGTCGGTCTTATGGAAGAAAGAGTCAATGCGCCTATTCCAAGCTCTTGGTGCTTGTTTTAGGCCATACAAAGCTTTCTTTAATCTGTACACCTTATCTTCACTTCCCTGCTTCATGAATCCTGGTGGTTGTTTGACAAAAGCCCCTTCTTCAAGTGGACCATTTAGAAAAGCTGACTTTACATCTATTTGATGAATTTTCCACTGATTCTGTGCAGTCAAAGCAATTATAAGTCTGATAGTCTCAATTCGAGCAATAGGAGGAAAAACTTCTTGATAATCATAGCCAGGTCTCTGCTCAAACCCCTTAACTACCAATCTTGCTTTATGTCTTTCCACCTCGCCATTTGACTTCATCTTTGTCTTGAAAACCCACTTCACATCAATAGCTTTGTGACCTCGTGGGATATTAGTAAGTTCCCACGTATTGTTTCTTACAATTGCCTTGATCTCCTCATTCATAGCATTCACCCATTTAGGAGGTTGGATTACCTCCTCGAATGTCACAGGTTCACTATCTACAAAGAAAGCAAAATGCACCAATTCTCCTTCATCATCAGGTGTTACCTCAAAATCTTGCAACCGTACAAATTGTTGGCGTTGCCTCCTTGGTCTTCCTGATTCTACTAAGCTTGTGGAATAGAACTTTCTTGAGCAAAGCTTGATGAGGATTCATTTGTGACAGGAACTACATCGTCCTCTTCAAAGATACTGAGCAGTTGCTTCTAGGAGTCTTTATGCATATCAACATCCCATTTCCCAGCCTCTTCTTCGGCAAAGGTCACATCTTGGCTGACAATCACCTTCTTTGTCACGAGATTGAATAGCTTGTACCCTCCACGCTTGTATCCAACAAAGATAGCCTTCTCTGCTCGATCATCTAGCTTTGTCCTTGTCTCCGTTGGAACATGGGCATAAGCTATGCAGCCAAACACCTTGAGATGTTTCACACTTGGCTTGAAACCACTCCACGCTTCTACAGGTGTGATATTCTAGACAATCTTTATTGGAGACCTGTTTATAAGATAAACAGAACAAGAGACAACTTCACCCCATAATGAATTGGGCATTCCTTTGGCCTTTACCATGCTCCTCATCATGTCCATGATAGTCCTGTTCTTCCGTTTGGCAACTCCATTATGTTGGGGAGTGTAGGGAAATGTAACTTCATGTTTTATTTCCTGTTCTTCACAATACTCATTGAATTCATTAGAAGTATATTCACCCCCACCATTAGTTTGTAAAGTTTTAATAGAGTAGCCACTTTCTCTCTCAGCATGTGCTTTGACAAATCAAATGAAAACATATGGAGAGGAGTACAAAGAGCAGGCCAAAGTGGAAAAGATTTTACAGGCGCTCACTTCCAGATTTGAGCATATCGTGGTGGCGATAGAAGAAACACATGATCTGTCTTCGATGAATGTCAAGGAATTATCCTGCACCTTGCAAGCCCATGAGCAACGCATGAATGAGAAGCAAAATGAAAAGCCAATTGAGCAAGACCTCCAAGCCCAAGTCTCCATTAAAGGTGAACAAAGTGGTGAAACAAGCCGAAAGCATGGTAGTTCTCGTGGAAGAGGACGAGGACGTGGTGGTCACTACTACAACAATAGAAGCTGTGGTGGCTATAACAACAATTATGAAGCAGGAGGTAGCCAAAATAATGACCAAGAGAAATCAGATTCAACCCACCAACAAAACACAAGAGGTCAAGGACACGGACGTGGTAGAGGAAGAACAAGAGTATCATGGACATGATGAGGAGCTTGCTAAAGGCCAAAGGAATGCCCAATTCATTCTGAGGTGAAGCTGTCTCTTGTTCTGTTTATCTTATAAACAGGTCTCCAACAAAGCAAGAACTCGACTAATATAAGTAGCAATAGTCTCAGAAGACTCCATTTGTAGGATCTCATATTGACTTCTCAAAGTTTGGAGTCTCACCTTCTTAACTTTGTCCGCACCTTTGTACAACATCATCAAGGTATCACAGGCTTGTTTTGACATGGTTGCTCCTGCAATCTTCTCAAAGACTTCATCATTCACCCCTTAATGAATGAAATACAGTGCCTTCTTATCCTTCTTTTTGTTTTCACGGTGGGCATTTTTCTGTGCATCGGTTGCGTTTTCTACAAGATCAGCAACCCCATTCTCCACGACATCTAACAACTCATGGTAATAAAAAAAACCCTCATTTGGACACTCCACCGATTGTAATTTTTCCCAGACAGGAACTGAGATTTGAACCAAGCTGTTCTGTTCATTGCACCTGCTCTGATACCACTGATATAGTATCAAACGTAGGAACAAAGACTAACAGGAGCAAAGTACGAGAGGATATGAGGAGAAGAACTTTTATTTCAGATTCCAAGTGGCTACACTGAAAAAAATCTATGAACTAATGGCCTATTTATAATAGGCTAAACCCACCTAAACTCCTATTCTTCTGCCATCAGAACCTAAAGATTAGGAGTACATGAAGATATCCCATTAAAACAGCTAAAAAGACTCAACTAACTTGACCATGACATAATTTAAATTGTTAAACAAAATAGCAACAGAATCGGGATTACAAGCCAACAAATAGAATTTTATATCGATTTTTGATATTTAATTAAACTCCATCCAAACGCCTACGAAATACGACTGGAGTATTTAATTACACTGGTATGGTATTTACACTCAAACAAACGCAGCCTTTGGTCTGGAATCTGGGCCGATCGACAAGAGTTAAGTTCCTGAACGGTTTGAACCGATAATAGAAATCCCTTGGCAGTTGGCAACTAGACGAATGACCGCGTTGCTAATTACTCACCCACTGGTTCCCCAGCGCCGTCTCCGAGTAGAAGGGTTAAAAAAAAAGTCAACGAAACACATACAAATAAGAATTGGTCAACAACAACCTCTGAATGTTGATAAGAACAGCTTTATTTCATCAAATTAGAGAGTTCGATGCTTGGTATCTTTACATAAAAGTCAAGAGCAGCACCTGTTTACGTTTGATTTACTGCCCAGCTTGTGGACTCTTAATACTTTATTTCTACTCCTCAACCACCTCTCTCTGAAGTTCGAACTTCAAACCCATTTAGCAGCAGAGCAGACAGAGCTCATCTCTATGACTTGAGAGTTTCAGACTCGTTGAAGAAAGATTTCCGCATCTGATAATCCAAAAGCGAAGCTGGTCTGGTCCCTCCAATCTCTACTGAAGGTTGGAAAGATGTTCACGGGACGTTGTTTGGTGGTTTGGGTGGTCGTTGGGTTGAGTTGCTTACTGACTTTGGCATCTGGAGCGACCCTTGTGAAGGATGAAGGTAAGTCAATTACTCATTTACTCCTAGCTAGTTACAGAGAATGAATCGTGAAGGGTCTGTTTAATTTGCTCTTCAGTTTTCACTTTCTAAGATAGATCCACATGAAAGATTTCACAAAGTTCTACTTCCTGCAAAAAGAATGTTTCTCAATTTCGCTTAAGTCGATCGAATCCTTCTTTCCCTTTTCCAGTCGACCATAAACCTTTATCCTGACCAGAGTACCGGATTATCCAATTCTATAGAGCAAGAAGAACTCTGATCAAGTTTAATTTTTATCCAATTCTATAGAGAATAATTATCATTTTCATGGCTGTTTTTGGTTGGAGAAACGAGAGTTTATCTGTTTTCTTTCTTTCTTTTTGTTTCTTTTAATTAATGAATCGTAGGTGTGATCAATTGAGCTCTGGACAATTCATCTAACTTATCAAAGTCTTAACTCCAGTCTGATCATGTCATCCGGCCAACTGTAAAGGGCCAGCTGCAATAAGTTTCCTGAGTTCCTGAGTCCTGACTCTGTTCTTCTGCCGAAGCAAGCCATAAACCAGACCAGACTCTCAAAACAACGTCTCCCAGTAGTTTCCAAAAAAAACAGGATGTGATAGCTTAATAATTGTTGATTAATGTTTCCTTAATTAGGATAACTTAATCGTTGTGACTAAACTATCCCTTGCCTTAGAACGTCGCGGAAGAAAACCATGGGCAATATGGTAATGTTAACATCATGATTTCCGTTTAATTTCAGTGAACGCGTTGCGTCAGATAGCGAAAACATTGGGGAAAACGAACTGGGATTTCAGCGTGGACCCATGCAGCGGCCTATCGGGATGGACGACTGCGAATCCCGAGAAGGGATTCGAGAACGCGGTGTACTGTAACTGCTCCTTCTCCAACAACACCCTTTGCCACGTCACCAGCATGTATGTATTGTAATTAATTATTGCCACGTCAGATTTATTTATTTATTTACAATTTGCTGTTCGCATTCTAATCCGCCGCAAACGCGATGATGGGTCGTGGACTATTTATTGGTCACGGGCATCACCGTACAGTCTATCTGTCCCATTGTTTTGTTCGGCCCATTGGACTTTGATCAATACATACACGTGGACTATTGGTCACTGTCTCACTCTCTCCGATCAAAAACTCTTGGATTAGAATCCTCTAATTTAATTATTGGGGTTCACTGCCCTGCCATATCATGCCATACTGCCGGGGACCGGATCTGTTCCTCACACAGGGCACTCGCATCCCACCATGCATTAGGAATATCACCCATATTCATATGTTATTATTCACGGGAATATTCTTAAAGAGATTGGTGTGAGGCGCCCTGTCTAAGAGATCCCAATTCTATACTGCCAAGCTGTTTTCATGTTGTCCTTGTCCTTGTCTTATTAAAAAAATAAATAAAAGGAACCGACTTTGATATTCCTTTAAATAAGTGCAGACTTCGGAGTATTAATTATTAAAATATTTTAAATTAAAAAAAATTCAAATGTAGAGGTATTATTGACACTTGATACAATTTTAGGGATAAAATTGATATTTCAATGTCCATATTTGGCCATTCAATAACTTAGGGCCCATTTGGAATGGTTTCTGCAAAGAGAGAGACTTCAGTGTTTACAAGACCGTATTTACACCATTTGCACAGTCTTCTACTTCATGCATTGGGAATATCTCTGTACTTGTATAATTTTTTTTTTCATGATAGTGTAGATACTCAATGCAAGGCTGCAAGGGACTGTAAGAAGTGAGGTGATTTGATCATGATGGTTGAGTACCTATGTTACGGAGAAGTCACCCGGAGTAACTTTGTACTTTTAGTAGCGTTTTTGTCATTTTGAACACTGAAAGGCTTTCCGAATTTTTACCAAATACAGCTTCTGGCGTTCTCATGTGGAGTCCAGCTCGGAATGTCAAAAGCTGCATCCGAAAGCCCTCTCAAACGGGCACTTACTTCTACCTAGTTAGAGTCTGAACCGCCTTTCCCTTTTGTTAATGGTTTTGCGGTTTAACCATTTGGACCAATGAATCAATCCATAACATCATAAGTCATAATCATAACAATAAAAATTAACAAAAAAATAGATAATACCATTAAGACAGATTAAAGGGTTCAACCATTCTAAGTCAATGGGACATTTTTCGAGTCAACAGAATTTTCTGTAATACGGCAGGTTACTGAAAATGTGACCGGATTATCGGTCCAACCGGATGGGTTAATGACGGACTGTGACTACTGGCTGTATCAGCCAAATTCTCTAATTTTATTATTTTTTTCAATGATTTTAGACAGCTCTGAAATCGCTTTTGTTCTTATTTTTTGGAGTTCAGAGTTCTCAAAGTTCAGAGTTTACCAGGCGTGCTCCCACCAGAGTTGGTGAAGCTTCCGTATCTCCAAGAGATGTAAGTTATAACTTCCTATATCTCCGTGGCTCATCCTAGCATTTTCTTACATCGTTTGCTAACTTACGCATTCCGATAATAACTAACTTAACTGCCATTCTTTTTATTTTTTCCTTTCCAGTGACTTAACCCGCAACTACCTTAACGGTACAATACCCTCAGAATGGGGTACTATGCAGTTAGTGAATATGTAAGCTGTTTCTTCTCTTACTCACTCTCATGTTCGTTTTGCAAACGAAAGCTTTTAGGTCTGAAAATTAATGAACTAGGGTTTCCGCAGCTCTCTTCTCGGGAACCGTTTGTCTGGTCCAATCCCAAAAGAATTCGGAAACATCACCACTCTCAAAAACTTGTAAGTATTGATCTCCAATCTCCTTCATGTGCCTGTGTGCGCGTGAGCGCGAGTGAGTTTCTATGTTTGAGTGTAAAGTTATTCATTACTTTTGCTTAAATCAATGCCAATTTTCAGGTCACTCGAGTACAATCAGCTCTCTGGAGTTCTTCCTTCAGAACTTGGGAATATTGTAGGCTTAGAGCGAATGTAAGGCATTTCTGGTTTTTACATTCATTGCCCGATTGATTGGTCCTGGTTTTCAGCTTTATTGAGTATGCCTATATATCAAGAATTTTCTTATGCTTTTTTTTTCACTTTCTAGATTGATTTCCTCGAATAATTTCACGGGGCCATTACCAGAGGCATTTTCCAAGCTGGCGAACTTGGGAGACTTGTTAGTTTCTATTACATTTTCCATTTTGTTCAATCACAGGTCACCTCTTCCATTTTGCTCATCTTTTTCATCCATTGACATATGCAGCCGTATAAGCGATAACCAATTTAATGGGACGATACCCAATTTTATAGGAAAATGGACAAAACTTGAAAAACTGTATGGATTCCTACTTCCAAAATTTAAATTGCTTTTTAGTGGTAAAATTTGAAGGTGCCATTTTCTTCATTTAACTCCAATTTTCTTGATGACAGTGCAATACAGGCAAGTGGTTTGCAGGGGCCTATTCCTTCTAATATTTCATTCCTGGAAAACTTAACTGACTTGTGAGTGAACATTTACTGAGACTCATACATGTAGTTTTATTTTTACATGTTCCCTCCCAGGGGAATCTTAAAATGATTCTACGTGTGAACCATATCACCTTTTCTTGTAGCAAGTTTCAACCCAGTGGGTTTTTTCCACATGATGGGAAGAGCTATTTTTTCACCTTTTACATTTGAAAAATCTAATATGTTCAGAGGAAAAATCAATATGTGGTGGTATGGGGCTGAAAAGAAAGAAATACATGTTGATAATCCAGTTTTCATTAGATAAATGAAGAGCTGTTTCTTCACCCATGTACATTTGAAAATTCCAAAGGCAATTATTTACAGAGGAAGAATCAATGTGTGGTGCTTTATGGAGCTGGAAAGGAAACAATACATGTAGCTAATCGATGTCCATGGTATGGTTCATCAGATGGCTTAAGAGCCATTTTTCACCCTTGAACAGTTGAAAATTCCAAAGGCAAATTTTTGCAGAGGAACAATCAAGATGTAACAGTGTATGGGGCTGAAATGGAAAAAATACATGTATCTAATCCATGGTATCCCTCATCAGATGGATGAAGAACACTTTGTTTTCCATCCTTGTACATTTGAAACTTCCAAAGGCAATCATTTGCTGAAGAAAAATCAATATTTGGTGACGTATGGGGCTGAAAATGAAACAATACATGTAGCTAATCCAGAGTATCCTTACTAGATGAATGGTTTGGATCTGCCATGAAACCCTCCCTCTGCCAGAAAACATCTGTTATTGAAGGTTTAAAACAACCAAGAAAAGAATAGAATACATTTCATATTATTTTCCTCATTTGATTAAATGGATACTCTTTTTTAATAATTAACTAAAGAATTCTTATTTGTTACTATTGGTGAATTTTTTGTTCAGGAGGATAAGCGACATAAGTGGAACAGAATCGACTTTTCCACCACTGAGTAATATGGCAAACATGAAGACACTGTGAGTTGTATGGTTATAAATCTCAGTTTATGGAAGCATATACCCATCTGTAATTTTTTTAATGGTCTGAAATAGAATTTATTTGATTGCTTAATATAGGATATTAAGGAGTTGCAATATCATTGGAGGTTTACCTTCATATCTTGCTGACATGACAAAACTCAAAACTTTGTAAGTCCAAACCTTTATCTCCCAACAAGATTCTTTTAGAAGTAAAGAAATACAAGTACTTATTAACCAAATGTTTCTTTTTCATTTCTTGTTTTGTAAATGGAACAGTTGTATGGTGCTTGACATGTGAAAAGATTTCATAAATTATTCTTCTACACATTTGTTAATTGTTATGCAGTTTATGGATTGGAACACTGTAGAGTTTATTTTCTATCTTACATAGAACATTGGGTAAATGGTATATGGAAGTCAAAATAAGTTGCAACCTAATGCAGAATAATGCAAGTGGTTATCTTGTTACACTAATTTTCACTTTTACTTCAATATAGTTTGAAATGAATTAAATAATAGGTCTTGATCAAATTACAATATCAAAGGACATTATTCAGATGAGATGAAGTATCTATAGTAGATTGTCGAGGCTTATCACAATGAAACATTACAGAGGACAGTCCAGAGGTTTCATTTCCTCTAAAGGCACTGTTTATGCAACTAAAGGGATGTGGCAGCTTGCTGGACAACTCCATTGCTCATTATTTCAATCCTCTGACAATGAAGAACAATGGATACTACATTGTTAGTTATTGAGGCTCTGTATTATTTTGTTGAATATGGTAAATAGAATTGCAGTGAGAAACTTGGAGAATATGAAATATAAAGAAAATGGATGATTACAACAACTTTCTCTATTAGGGATAGGGGATAGAGACCCATCATTAACTCAATTTAGGGTGAAGTTGAAGATGAAAAAGAAGAAACATAAACAAAAAGACTATTTCCAATATTTACAGTGGAAATATTATGATTTCTACGATTTTTTTGGATAAATAACAGAAAACTTTTTATGAATCAGAGAACACCACACCTCTCACCAAAGTGAACAACAGGCCCAATAGTACAAGCTTCTCCAAGGAGCCCAATAATATAATAAAAATCAAATACAATTACACATTACCTCCTGGCCTTAGGCATCCCCAAACTAACTGATTCTAGATACCCCTACAATTGCTAGAGAATCGGCTGTAACATAAGAACTTCTAGGAACCCAACTGAATAAGCTGTTCAAGTTGGAGCTTTAATATCTGAGCCTGTCTCACCATCAGCTTAAACTTCCAAGGGATCTGTTCTTGAGATTTCATCCAGCTGATTATGGCTTGGCAGTCACCCTTGACCCCCACTTCCTTCAATCTCTGCTCGCTCATTAATTTAAATCCATGAACCAAAGCTTGTATCTCAAAGCCTCAGCCCTTACCATGCCCAATGGGACCAGAAAAACTGATGTCTATGTTACCAGAATAATCCCTAAGAGCTCCCCTGACACCTGACTCTCCTAGATTTCCGAGGCAAGATCCATCAAAGTTGAAGTTAATTTACCTGAATCTGGGGATTTCCATAATTCAGTCCTTTGCTGTCTTCTGGCCTGAAATTCAGCTATTACCTTCCACATCTTTAGCATTTCACTAAGGAAAATACCCTTGAACTCATCACAAATTAAAGCCCAATGTGCAACTCTTATTTTTATAAGCTCAATCAACTCTGCAGCCTCCATTGATTCTTCAAATATGTGTGGATTTCTTTCATTCCACAATCCCCACAACACTGCTCCTTGCATACATTGACAAATAATCTTGTCTTCGGGTAAGATGATTGGTGTTTTCCCCACTCCTCAGACATAGAATGCACACATGAGGGGAGAGACACCAGACGCTTCCTTTGGAGTCTATCACAATTCTTAAGTACTTGATTGGCAGATCCCAACAGAAAACCTTTACCTTAGGGGGGATGGGACCGCACTAAAGCTCTTTAGTTGGGTACTGGTTTATTGCAGTAGATTGGTAAAAAGTTTGAAAAAAAGGAAGTGAACAAGAAAAATACCACTGGTATTTGGCATCCTAAACTCTCTCATCCTACCCCTGAAGGAACTAAACCCACCTCTTGAAAAGTGTCAAGTAGAGAAACAAAATCCCCCATTTTAGAGTTCCTTAAAGCCCTCCTTGACCCCAAATCCCGAACCAAACCTCTTCCCCCCATAGGACACTAAATCAGAGATAGGTTTATTTTTGAGATTTGATAAATTATAGATTCTAGGAAAGACTTGGAAGAAAGGAGTACCTCCCAACCAAATATCTTCCCAAAAATTCACCTTGATTCCAGAACTTGCATCATCATATTTATATGTTGCATGAAAATAGGAACTGAGGTCAGAATTGATTTCCAAGAGCTTCTTACGGTTTTATTTCTAACAGGATCCATGCCCTACCTGTTAGGATGAAGCCCATAGATGCTTTTAATAACCCAGTTACACAATGTCTCCAATTCTTTGGGGAATCTCCATAATCATTTGCCCAATAGTGCCATATTTTTCTCCTTCATCCTCTCAATTCCTAAGCCACCAGTCTCCTTGTTTTTGCACACTTCCTTCCAATTCAAAAGATGGTCCTTATGATCATTCCTTGGATCCCATAAAAAGTCCCTTATTATCTTTTCTATCCTATCCATTGTCCGAGAAGATCAAGGATAGAAGGAAAGAGCAGAATTTCCCTAACACATATGACAATAACCATGGTAAACAACTTTAGGGATTCGAGAATATGTGCCTAAGTCTATGGGGAATAAGCATTTATTATTGCAACTATTTTTCATAAATATTTTCCTTACCTTTATGTGGTTATCTCCACTATATATTTGTCAAATGATAGTGTAGGACGGGGGTAAGGTTGGGTTGGGGAGCGGTCTCTTTGAAAGACGAAGAGAAGCCTCGAGAGTGAAGGAAGGTGAAGGTCTTAAAGAAATGGAAGAGTTGTGGATGCTCGAGAGTATCAGTAGCAAATGCTTAGGATCGGATGAGTTCCAATGTGAGGAGGATCTCTATTTATGAAGGAGGTCCCCAGATCCTTAAAGGTAGGAGATTAACATATTTGCTCTGTATCGGGGAAGGGAATATTTGATTAGCTGTCAATCATTGGGTGCGCTACTAAGGTATTGCCACGTGTCTCATGAGGATTTTCTTCAAGGATTGGCTTTCCTTATCCTTGAGATCCCTCATTACTCACGTGTGCTACTACTTTTTTGTGCATCATGACTAATCCTATGTGGCAACAATGACGTCACCGTTCGGCGGTTGGTACTTCGTAAATTCCACGTGACGGTTTGCAAAGTCCTTTGCTGTCGTGGATTTGCGTGTGTTCGGGCACACGTTGACCTCACTGTGGGCTCGGCCTACTGCCCTTTTTAACCTGTCGTCCAGAGTGGGCTCGTGGGTTGTGAGTTCATCGCACGTCATTGTAGGTGTGGCTCCATCGCACACTTAGGTGTGTTTGGGTCTATTGGACGGGTCTTTCTGAGGTTCATTTAGGTTTGGGCGTGGATTGAACTTGGTGGATGGTGAGTTTCCACTCACCTCGGAAGCCTCTTCGAGGGAGGCTTGACCTCCTAAAACAGAAGATGGAGAGAAAAAGAGAAGGGAAGGAAGGAATAAACTGGACTYAGGGAGAAGAAAATTAAAGGATAATCATTCATTGCTTTCATTATATGATGATGGCCTTATATAGCTGGCCTACAGGTGTAATATCAGAGGGAATATCCTCTGATTTCTAGGTAACTAACTCTGGTAGATAACATGGATGGAATATCCTCTGGCGGCAGAGTAACCAACTCTGAGTGTAACTAATTCTGGGGCTCTGTCGCCTGTCTTCTCTGTCTCCTTGTGAATGGCTGATGGGTGGTGGCCTGCTCCACTCCCCTAGTGGGTTCTGGAAGGAGTGTTTGGGTCTCAACAGTGGACCGTGGGTTTATCGCAGTTTTGCTTAATGTTTTGCGGGTTCATCGCAAAGGTGGCAGTGTACCGCAAGTTCATCGCAGCATGGGGGTTGATTGCAAGCTGCTTGTAAGTGCTCCTGTGGTGTTACTCTTGGTGTCTGAGTGTTCTTTAAGGGTCCGGGTGAGCTGTACATACCTACAGATAGTGTAGAACTCCCATTCTTTCCATGCCATTCTGTCTCAAGATTCTTGTCTTCACTCCTTGTCATTTTATATAGAGAATGGAAAAAATAGTTTGTCAGTAGTGCTCATATTGTGGCAAGTATACTTTTTTAGGTGCCCTTTTCAAAAAAAGAAGGATAGCTATTCTGTCATAGCAAATGGAGGTTCACTTGGATGCAAATTAAAAGAAAAGTATTGAAATAATATGTAACAATCTACCCATGAGTAAGAAGCAGTTAGCTAGTTAGACAATAAAGATTAAATAAAGTTCATGTATCTAGATGGAGAGAAGAAGCAACAATATGCCTTAACCAACTCAAGAGCTTGTACTTAATACTTACCTACACTTTTTAGTTAATCTGTCTTTTGTGCTCACATCTCGGGCTGGCAAGCGTGATAACATAGATTTGAGTCTGAGAGCAGCCACTTTGTGTAAAAAATGCTAAAGGTTAGGACCATTTCCAGTCTATCCCTCCCAAGACCCCAAATAGCTGGGACAAACATTGGCTAAGGCCTTTTTTTATCTTATGTGCTCACATGCCTTTAATTGGTAAGGTTTGTAGAATACTTGAGCGGACATGGTTAGGTTGCACCTGAAAATTGTTTGAGTTTGTTTTTCTAGCCATTCAAGAGAGAGAACTTTCATATTATAATTTAGACAGATATGCTGACACTTTTTTATCACAAATTTCTAAGTGGTTAACCATTGATAAAAAGTATTCAAAAGAAATGATTTAAAAAAAGGTTGCCACTTTTCTCTTATTGTATTTATTTCCACATGTTCCTGCAGAGACCTCGGCTTTAACAAGCTGACAGGGGAGATTCCAAGTACCTTTTCAAAGCTAACAAAAGTGGATTACATGTAAGATCTAATAGTTGCAGTTTGGTAATCTAGTATCAAGTTTCTAAAATGTTTTTATGATGCAACTTCTCAATTACACTATATCATTGATGTTTTGTTGTTTAGATATCTTACTGGAAATTTGCTAAATGGTCCTATACCTGATTGGATGGTGAAGAAAGGGGAGAGCATGTAAGTTCGTCTTTCTAGTTTCTTGATACTATTAGTGTCATCATTTTTAGTCAAAAGTTTCAGTTTTTCAAACAACAAATGACAGTGTCTTATATAAATAAAATTTTGCTTCATTATTCTTTTCTTCAAGAAAATGATTGTTTAATTTTGACATACAGTGATTTGTCCTATAACAACTTTACATTGGGAAGCACACTGCAATCTAGTTGTCAACAACGAAATGTGTAAGAACATTCAATGCAGTTCCAAATTCTTCTATGTTGCTGTAATAAAATATTTCAGTTTCGCTATTAACCTTTTCCTTTATATTTCTTCAGAAATTTGTTTGGAAGCTATTCTTTAGGAAAAAACTCGTAAGTTTCTACTTTTCGTTTTATACAATACATTTACAGGTCATGTATTTAATTAAAAGTACTTGCAGACAAGTACTTTAATCTATTTGTTTTTACGTGAATATCTTTCATCATAATTTCGTAGTGCTGACATTTTCTTGACCTCATTTTTATGTAGAACTGGATTAATTGCATGCATGCAGGGCCTTCGTTGCTCACAAAGTAAGTACTCAATTCTGAAGTTAGACCTTTGGTTGTTGCCTTGCATGAGTTTCTTGGTAAAGAAATTTGCTTTATGGTTTCATATAATTTATTTTCTGCCACTGTAAATGACATAATCTGTATTACATTGCTTTGGTAAACCAAAGGATGCTCATGAGAAAATCATTCTAAAGGTAGCAAACCATATCAATTATGTTTTTGGTCAAAGAAATAATCAAGGATAATATAAAATGGTGAAGGTGAAGATGGGAAGAAAATGAAAACCAAATCTTCTCTTTTGTTTATGAAATGAATAACATTCTTATATACTTAAGCATTGGCTATGTTCAAGACTATAAAATGTTTAAGAAGAATATATTAATTAATATGCACTTCTCTTCTATTTTATCTATTTAGTTAAAATCATCATTTCATTAACAATAGCATATTAGAAGTTATGAAATATTGTTTTTATGTTTCAAAAAACCAGAAATAAATACAAGCATAACTTAAATTTGCAAAATTTTGGTAACCTATTGTTTTTTTCTCGGTTCTAAAGGTATATTATAAACAGATGAAGCCATGAAGATAAGAGGCAGAAATAAGGCCAGTTTGCATGGTATTTGAATTCTTAACATTTTATAGGCCCCATCTAAGATTTTTCTAGGGTGAAAAATCAGCTTAAAAAATGAAATTGATTGATATAAAAAAAGATACCAACCATTTGCTTTTTTGATAAGTAACTTTAAAAATTTTATTAATTAAGCAACAATATATACATAAGTACAACCGAGGGTGGGCCTTGGTGCAACGATTGGGTTGCTCCATTGCAACTTGGGAGACCAAGGCTCAAATATTGGAAATAGTCTCTCTGTATGTGCAGGGTTAAGGCTGTGTATATATGGCCCTCCCCAGACCCCACATTGGTGGGAGCCTTGTGCACTAGGCTGCCCTTTATATACATAAGTACAAGCATCCCTTGGAGAGGTACGAGTCTCACAAAAAAACTTAAAATCAGATTACAACTGAGCCCAGTACAGTTGTTCCCAATTAACCCCTTGCTTTGCTAAATGTATCATCCATCCCATTTTCCGATCTCTGAACCCATTGTATATCTAATGCTATGTTGCTAGTTAACCATTTAAACCTCTTGACTTCATCTCTATAAGCCCATATTATAGTCTCCAGATCCTTCAACCATCCCAACACCAACTTAGAATCCCCTTTAGTAATCAACTTCTCCATGTTGAACTCCCTTGCTATCTGTACCCCTTGAATAACAGTCAGAAATCCAGCCCTAAAGAGTTCCCAGAACCTACTGGTCCTGAGAACAAAGCAACAACATGAACATCTTTATCTTTGAATATTCCCCCTACTCCAGATGGGTTTGGATTACTTGACTACTCCCATCAAAATTTAGTTTAATAAATCCTTCAGAATGAGATAACCAAATAGAAAGTGTTAATTCCTTTTTGAAGAGCCTTTTGCCACCTCTTCCCATTTCCTCTAAATATCATCATAGTAAAATTGTGAGAAGATGTCCAATGTTCTAACCCAATGTATCACCCTAGTCATAACACATTACGCCACTGGTTCCTTCTTTCCTTTTCTAAGAAAATTATTGCATTCTGTTCTTCCCAAATAGGCCAAAATCATTGCAGCTCTTGTGCATCTCTACAGAATTCTTCCCCTTCTTTTAGGCCACCTTAATTTTGATAGATTAAACAACCTTTTCATCTCCGCTAGCAAAGTCCACTTGTACCCAAATAAAGAAACAAACTATTCCAAAATGCATGCAATAAATGGCAGGAGATTAGTAGGTGGTAACAACTCTCACCATTAGTTTTACATAACCTGCACCAATTTGGGGATACACAAAAAATGTCTTCTTTTTCGTAGATTGTCCATGGTATTAATTGTAATTTGAAGAGCTATACTCGAAGTAGCAAGGAGGAGAAGAGAATCACAGAACTGAAGAGAATGCCGAACTGTACTAGGCAGTCGACCAGTCTTTTATTTATAGATGAATATAGTACAAGGTACAAGAAATTACTGGGATRCCCCTGATTAGTGATGGGACACCCAGATGACTTAAAACACTAAACAGGATTAGGCCCATTAACAAAGGCCCAGTTACAAGATAAGTTAAACATAAGACTGGGCTAATAAGAACTCTTATAAGCCGAACAACACTCTGACATTCTAACACTCCCCCGCAAGCTAAGCATGGATATCAATCATGTTTAGCTTACCAAGTATGTCCCTGAACTTTGTTGATGCCAGCCCTTTTGTTAATACATATGCAATCTGCATCTCTGATGGAGTATAAGGTACACAGAGTTCTCCTGAAATAATTCTCTCTCTGACAAAGTGTCGATCAATTTCAATATGTTTTGTCCGGTCATGCTGTATGGGATTGTTGGCAATGTTGATAGCAGCTTTATTATCACAATACAGCTTGAGAGGACCCTCAGTCTTGATACCAAGCTCATTAAGGAGAGTTCTGAGCCATAGGAGTTCAGCAACCCCGTGTGCCATAGCCTGGTATTCTGCTTCTGCACTTGATCTAGCCACAACATTCTGCTTCTTACTGCGCCATGTGACTAGGTTTTCTCCCAAGAATGTACAGTAACCTGAGGTTGATTTTCTGTCTCCAACAGATCCAGCCCAATCAGCATCAGTGTAGGCTTCAATTTCAAGTATGCTGTTTTTTCTGAATAGAATTCCTTTACTTGGGAAAGTCTTCAAGTATCTGAGGATTCTTTCCACTGCTCTCATATGAGGGGCCTTTGGTGAGTGCATGAATTGACTGACAACATGCACTGCATAGGCAATGTCTGGCCGAGTAAGGGATAAGTATATCAGTTTTCCAACCAA